GAAGCTAAGCTACGAGCTAAGCTAACAGGCCGACCTTGGGGAAAAAACCTCCGTCTTGTCAAAGCTCCAAAATTCACAGTTGAAACCTGTGCCTTCATCTAAAAAGTTGTTTTTCTCTGCAAAAAGAAGCTGAGAACTTGTTTACTGATTTTTTTTTAATTAAAAGCTTTATGTGACAAATGTTATGCTAAAGAACTCAAACCACACCGAGCGTCCGCCATTTTGAGAGCCGAAAAACACGAATGAGAGACAGTCCATATCACTTCAAAGGGCCTCCCTCCCATTTTTCTTAAACGCTGCTCGCTCCCTCACTATCCATCCTTCGGTTCACACAGTCTTATACTACCATCCGGTGGTCAAAAAAAGGTACTACACTCAAAACAAATTAACCAACGTTTCTTCTTAAATTTGGCAATAATTACTAATTATTATCAAATTTCAAACAGTATTGTCGCTTATCACAATAATTTCTGAGACAATTAATCGCCCAGCAAAATTTGTTATCGTGACAAGCCTAAGGCTGACACTGTGTGGTGTTTAGACCAGGCTTAAGGTTTCTTTTTTGATAAGCCTTATAGTTGAAGTCTGCTTGGGTTTCTTGAGCTTCCCCTTAGTTATGCTGCTATAGGTTTAGACTACTGGAGGACAAATGGATCACATTTCCTCACTCTACTCTCCATTATTGTATTTGCAATTATTGCTGTTATTAACATGTGTGTTTCTTTGTCTTTCTTCCCAGAAAGCACTCCTGGAGCAGCCATTCTGTGTTTGTCTGTATTACTTTCCTGCCCTCTGTTTTCCCCCAGCCGGTTGAAGAAGATGGTTGCCTGTCCTAAGCCCGGTTCTGCTGGAGGTGTCTTCCTGTTAAAAGGGAGTTTTCCCTTTCCACTGTCACCTGTGTGCTTGCTCAGGATGGGAGATTGTGACGAAGCAGAGATTCGACACAATCTGCTGGATTCCTTGGAAAACTTTTCCTAGTTGGCATAAAAAATAAATAAATAAATAAATATATATATA